ATTTTTTTTTTCTAATTTTGTATCCATGCTAGTTAATCGTCAAACCAGAGGGGTTATTTAGTTTCTGTGATGCTAGCTAGAATGCTTCCTATACATGAAATAGTTCAGGTATCCTCCAAACTGCCCTACAGTTTGCTTTCAAATCCACAGTTTTGCAAATGAAGTAACTTATTTAAAAGTCTTTAAAGTACTGTAATATCAATATGTATGTATTTTTTGTTCTCTGAATCTCCCTTGCTTGCCTTGCCTCTCAATTTTTATATTGCAGTTTTCAGTCTAATATAATGAGTCAATTACAGTTATTATTAATTTGAGATAAAGCTTCGATTGGAAAACTGCAGTAGTTCAGAAGCTGGCTTACAGGTGCAAATTCAAGTCGTCTTACAGTACTTTTTTTTTGTCTTGCAATGCTAAATCCCTCTGACTGGGTCACTTCAGACCCAGGGAGACCTAGATAACTCTGCTGCTTCATTTTTCTGTTTTTGGATACATTATGAAGTCCGTTTTGGTTTGTTTCTTATGGATCACTGTCTTTGGGTAGATTTGACTGACTATATTTCAGTGATATAAATTGGGTTGTTAAATAAAAATCACTATCATTTGGTTTATTCTTTTAATGGTATTGTTTGTAGTGAAAGTATGGAGGTAAATACTGCCACACTGAAATCGGATAGATTGACTGTTCAAAAGAATTTGTGGAATTCTGGTGTATTTGATCAGACATTTAAAATTCATTTTTTCAAATAGGAGAAGTTCCTGGACTGTATAAAATAGAAGAATTGGAACCCTTGCTATCTCCTCTAAAGGATCAAGCTTCACAAGATGGATTTACAGGGCCCATTTTCAACTATTTCACATACAGTATGTGATCAGAATTATATAAGTTATTAAACATAAAAAGATACAGAAGTAATATAATAATGAACAAATAATTGCTAAGGGAGGTCCCTGTTTTCTATATTTTTAAACTTTTATTAAAAAACAGTAGGGAATAGTGGTTATAGAGAGTTGAGGGAATACAATACTCAGCTTAAAAATTGCTCTTTTACTTGAAATTTTGTATCTGTGTTTTGTAAAGCTGTTAGGAATTTTGCTGTTCAAAGTCATTTGGAAGGAAGAAAGCATGTGTCTCCATTCTTTTCTACTTTGTTTAGACTGCTTATCTATAGTCTCCTTTCCTCCATTAAGTTCAGGAGAATGATTATTCCTACAGATCACTCTGAATTTTGAGATATCATAGAAAAGTTTGTCTTTACAGAGCTTTCTTAGTTGTTTTTGCTTCTTTCTTAGACCAACAAGAAATTAGTTCAGAAATAGGTAGAAGAATGTGACTGAAACAGAAATTGATGGACATAATCAAGGGCTGCTGAAGTACTTCTAAGCGTGTCTAAATAATTTAGAATTAGATTTGTTTTTGATAAGTATTTGAATGTATCAGGCCAGTAAAATTATTTGCATTTAAAATAACTCTATTATGAAGTCAGAACACTACTAAATATTTTAATATATTACATTTTCTTTAGGAATCCAACAGAATCTGCATGTTGTCTTGATCATGGATTCTACCAATTTAAATTTTGCAATAAATTGTGAAAGTAATCCAGCACTGTACAAGAAATGTCAGGTCTTGTGGATGGAATGCTGGTCTGAAAACAGTATGAAAAAGGTAAAAGCAAAATAGCAGAAGTAGTCAAAATTAGGAGCTTTATTTTGTGAATGTCATCTTTCTACATTGGCATACTTTTTAGCTAAAGCAAGGGTAAAGTCAGTGTTTGAAAAAAGCTCTTTAATAATTTTAGAGGGTTTATTTGTTTGTATGCTCTGTTGATATTTTGCAAATATTCTATTAGTCAAAAACTGTGATGTCATTTGTTTAAAAGAATACATTTGTATAACTGGTAAAGAAGACTTCTGTTAAAGAAAAACATATCTAAGTTAGTGGAGGAATAATTGTCTTTGTGCTTTTTAATTTGTGCAGTACTGTAAAGACAGATAATATAGAACAGTTGAACAGTGCTATTCCACCAGTAATGGTATGGTTGGTTTTCTTTGTGGGTTGAGTTGAACAAAAGGCTCACTACTTTGACTTTGAGCTAATGCAGTATTTAAGCACAAAAATGTTAAATTGCTATATTCTAATTCTGGCCTGTTATTTCTTTTAAATTGTGTGTTGTTCTTGAATCTTTGTACAGTGTTTTGCTAGATAGAATAGTTTCACTGTGTTCTTTTTAGGAACAAAATCTACTTATTTCAGGATGCTCATGATAGAAATTTGTGAAAGATATGTAGTACTTTTATATGTTAAAGGCTGCCAAATCTGGTACCTTCATTGAAGGGAGGCTGCCACAGCTCTATGCCTCAGGGTCCAACCAGTGGCAACGCTTAACACGTATTCTCAGTAGTTTAAAGACTTAGAATTAAGAACTATTTAATTCCGGTGCTGTATCTACATTAGTTTTGCTTAATTTTGTATGATTTACTGTTGAATTGTGTACTTTGTTGCTTATTTGGCAGTTCTGTTATTTTAATAGTCCTCTGGGAGTTACCTGCTCCATCTTATAGCCAGCCAAGGCTGCTTTGCTTGATAGAACAGTCAGTCAGTTACAGGGCATGGAGAAATCGAGCTTTTCGAGGCAGTAACTATTCTGTAAATCCTTTATTCTGAATAAAGTTATATTTTTCAGTCTTTTCAGATTAGCAAACAAATTAAATTCTTTTAAATTTTCTTTTTATGTAATTTTGGTACAAAATAATTCATGTTTATTTTTTAGATACCTGAAATGCTTTTGAAAGATTCTGATGAACAAGAAAAGACTGGAAAAGCACATACAGAAGTTAAGAAAAAACATTCAGGTAATACTTTCATGGAACAAATTAATAGGGCTGTTATTTAATTATCATTACTTATTATTAAACACTATTTCAGTGCTGTTTTGGGCATGGATGATAGTGTTTTGCAAGCAGGTTTTGCAGGCAGATTCATAGACTTCATTGTTCACATGAGAATGTTAATTTGGGATGTACATTTTTATAAACTTTATTCTCAGAAAAAACAAATTAATTTGCTTTTAGTTATTTTATGTCAGATAAGAATAATTGTCTTATTTTCTGTCTATCAAATTATGTTATACAGGTGATTCTGTTTTTCTGAGGTCATTTTTGACAATCCACGAATCATGTAAAATGTATAGAGCAACGCCCAGCACATATATGACATTTCTTCGTATATATAGTACCATCAATAGCAGTAAAAGAAGAGAACTGCTAAAAAGGCAGAACCACTTGCAGGTAAGTACTTCAAACATTTTTCCAAATTACTCCCACATTTTGGAATACCTTGTGTATTATGTTAGTTGTTAGCACGGTTGTGTAAGATATCCTCAGTCTGTATATGGTTTCAGGAGAGGACTGCTCTGGGTCTTAATGCACGTTCTTCTTTTCATTAACTTTTTAAGTTTTCCTCGTAATTATCAGAATGAGTATGCTGTTTAGACACTACTTTAGGTTTTTATAGCCATATGTAGTGGAATTGTGTTGCAACCAACTCATCATCTTCACTTCAGTTTGACTCCTGCCTCTTTGCTTGTATAATTTTTCCTCCTGTAGCTGCATAATCTATACATTTATCTCTACTTCAGCTTCCTTCTTTGTGTAATTCTTGCATTTTTCTAGTTGAACAGCTATTATTGGGCTTATGATGCTCTTCTGTAACCTTGGCCAAGATTCCCTTGTCTCTGATTTACCCCTTCTTGCTTTGGAGTCTGTTTCAAATTCCTTTTCACACATCAAAACTTACACAGCTCTAGGCTGAATGCATTTCATCTCATGGACATCACTGCCTGTTACTCCTGTTCTATATTCGTTAACAGCTTTATTTTTGAAAGTTACTTGT